TATCCCATACGGGCGCCGGTTCAAGTCCCGGCTGCTCCACTTCCCGTCCAGCTCTCTGCTATGGCCTGGGAAGGCAGCAGAAGGTGCCCAAACAGAAATCCAGGCTCTTGGCTTCAGCCCAGCCCAGCCCTGGGCACCTGGGGAAGGGACCAGTGGGTGGGAGACCCCTTAGCTGTGTCTCTCCATGTCTCTGTGTCACTCTTTCACGTTAAAAATAAGTAAAAAGGTGTGGCCACCAGGGCGGGCACACACTGCCTTCTGTGTCTGTTGTTTATCCTTCATAAAGATAAAGACGTCCTGATCCGCTCCGGCCAAGTGAAACAGCATTTCGTTTATTCAGTGCATTTACGGGTCAGTAGGCGCTTGCTGTATGCCTGATGCCACCCCAAAGGAAAACAGACCGGGCCCAGACAAAGTGACGCTAAGCACGGTCCGTGCCCTGCCCCCCCGCCCCGCCCCGGACACAGGGGGCTTTGGCGAGTGCTGGGAGAGAGCCGGTGAGTGCCCAGCCCTCAGCCCCGGCGCTCCCGTGGGTCACAGAGCTCTGAAGATGAGCGCTCAGGCTGCCCAAACGGGACGTTAACCAAGGCCCCAGTGTGAAAGTGCGCACTGATTCTTGGAGGAGATAGAAATGGGACAGGTGCCATTCTTTTTTTTGACCGGCAGAGTGGACAGTGAGAGAGAAAGGTCTTCCTTTGTCAGTTGGTTTAACCCTGCAATGGCCGCTGCGGCCGGCTTGCTGTGGCCTGAACCCAGGACACTGGGTTCAAGATAAAGACTCACATCTCCCCGCCTCCCCCCAAGAGGGGAAAACCCACGGGAAAAGACTGCGCAAAGTGCGACGCCTTTTAGGATGCAAATCCTGGCCAGCACCGCGGCTCACTAGGCTAACCCTCCGCCTGTGGTGCCTGTGGCGCCGGCACACCCGGTTCTAGTCCCGCTCAGGGCGCCAGATTCTGTCCCGCAGTGCACCGCGCTGATCCGATGGCAGGAGCCAGGTGCTTCTCCTGGTCTCCCATGGGGTGCAGGGCCCACGCACTTGGGCCATCCTCCACTGCACTCCCTGGCCACAGCAGAGAGCTGGCCTGGAAGAGGGGCAACTGGGACAGAATCCGGTGTGTCGACAGGGACTAGAACCCGGTGTGCTGGCGCCGCAAGGCGGAGGATTAGCCTAGTGAGCCACAGCGCCAGCCTCCATTCCTTTCTTTAATGGGATAAATGGTTGGGAATATCTTCACTGGCTCACGTTCGCAGTACAGCAAAAATAACGGGTCCGTGGAGTGAGGACACGGCTACGGAAACCCATCCTTGAGTGCTGGTAACTGACTGGAACCCTCAGGAGCTGGACACAGTCCAAATGTCCTCCCCCTGGACTCCCAGAGCCCAACACATTCATTAGAGGGAAGCTCCCCGAGACCGGGACTGCAGCCCTGGTGCAGGAAGACAAACGAAATGAAAGACGACAGAGACGATTGTGAAGGCTCCGGATTTTATGGTTCCGTGCATGTGACACTGGCTGCAGAAGGCAAATCCACAGCACTAGAAAACAGCTGTGGTCTTTAGGGACCAGGGTGAACCTGGGGTGATGGAACAACATACTGATGCGGCCACAATAGCCAGGGCTGGGCCAGGCTGAAGCCAGGAGCCAGGAGCTCCGCCTGGGTCTGTCCCGTGGGTGCAGGGGCCCAGGCACATGGGCGTCCTCCACTGCTTTCCCAGATGCATTAGCAGGGAGCTGGATCGGAAGTGGAGAGGCTGGGACTCGAAATGGTGCTCATACGGGATCCCGGTGTCGTAGGTGCTGGCTTAACCTGCTGTGCTATAATGCCAGCCCCCAGTTCTGTATCTTAATGGTGGTCCCGTGACTGGATGCATTCATGAAAACTTGAAGAACTGGGGGCGGGCGTTTGCAGTAGTGATTAAGACGCCGTTTGGGATGTCCGCATCTGAAATCGGCGTGCCTGGGTTCGCACCCCAGCTCCAGTGTGGATTCGGCTTCCTGCTGATGCACAGCCTGGCAGGCAGCAGTGATGGCTCGAGTGGCTGAACACCTGTCACACACCTGGAAGGCCTGGCTTGAGTTCCTGGCTCCCAGCTTTGGTGCGTCCGGCTCCAGCTACTGCTGGTATCTGGAGGGCGAACTAGCTGGTAAAGTGCCCTGTGTCTCTGCCTTTCAAAAAAAAAAAAAAAAAAAAAGTTGCCAATCTGCACCTGACCGTGTAGAGCCAGCCGGTGCCGAGCAGTGTGGACCACCACACAGCCCTGAAACATGTTTGTAGGGATAGGAGATGTCCTGCTGTTAACACAATGCAGCAGGGCCCCGCGCTGCATCTGCAGTTCTGAGACACCCACGCCGCCAGCAGCCGCCAGCCCCACACGCAGACCAGTGTCGGCCGTGTGCCCGCCGGAGGGCAGGGCTGTTGACGACCCACGTTTGAACACTCACCGAACTTTCAAATTTTCATCTGAGCCTCTGCACCAAAAAAATCTTACACAGGGCCACAGGAGCAGCCTGGCGGAGTGGCCAGTGGACCTGCGGGCAGTTATGCCATGGTGATCCGAATGCCCCTGGGTCAGGGTCCTCCGAGTCCCCCTCCTCCTGGGCCGGGCACTCAGTGGCTGCAGCCATCGGCTGGGCAGCTTATAAGTGACAGAAGTGTCTTTCCCGCAGTTCTGGAGGAAGTCCACTTTCCCACCGTGCAGCCTTCCAGCTGCGTCCTCTCAAGGTGGGGGGAGTGGTGGACAAGACCCCTCCAGCCTCCCTTACGAGGGCTCCTCCCTCATCACCACCCACCTCCCAAAGACCCACATCCTAACGCCACCACCTTAGTGGGATGGGAGATAAACACTCAGGCCCTAGTGCCAGGTCAGTTCTAACCCCGAGCCTGGTGAAGCCATACCTGGCTGGGGATAAGCCTCAGACCTCGACCACAGAGGCGCCCCCTCCATACGGGCTCTGGCTCCCTCTGCAGGCACCTGGAGCTCTCCGGCCTGGCCCCAGGGCCCTTCTGCCTGCTCCCACTGCAGGGACCAGAAATCTAGCCTGAGGCCACTGCCCACCCACCCAAGTGAAAAGGGGTCCAGAGAAGATGTCTTCCACAGGTACCTGGGGAGGGTGGCAAAGGCGGGGCGTGGCTACCGCTCTGCTGAGGGCTCGGGTTGTAAAAGGGCTGGGAGAGGACAGTGGCGTACAGGGCGCCCACGGGAGGGGCTCTTGCCTCCAGCACACCCCAGTGTCACCCTCACTTTGCAGCTGCTGGGGCCTCGAGTGCCGTGAGTGCTGAGGTCCTCCCTGTCCGTCGGCACCAGTCTGCCCTCCCCCAGGTGGGGGCGCGGGGACTTCTCACTGAAGTGGAGGAATGGCTCGGTGCGGCTGGGCTCGGGGAGGCCTCCGGCATCCTCTGTGTGTGTGGTCGGCGGGCACAGCTGCCCCTTCTGCCCTCAGAGCCTAGAGGATTTCCTCAAGGAAAAACACAGCCTCTTCTTGTCTGTCCTGGCACCACGAAGTCTTCACACAGTAGGTGCTCAATAAATGCCCAGGGAGGCACTGGATGCCCAGTGGATGGACGCGGAGGGAGCCCGCTGCTTTGCTGCTAGGGTCAGGCCGTGAGCAGTTCCCCCGGCCACTTGCCCTGGGCAAAGCACGCTTTCCCTTCACTTGGGCTGTTTCCCCAGGAGCTAGGAACGGACTGGTCAGGGGCCACAGGGACTTCAGCCATCCCTTACCTGACGCGTTGTGAGCAGGTCCACTCCAGGCCTGCCCCAGCCCCGTAGGCTGTCGGTGACGGCCAGGCCAGGCCAGGCGGGGGAGGGAGGCCTTGCACGTCTGGGTGGCTCCGGGCAGTCCTGTGGCCGCTCTGCAGGCACCTCCAGACTCAGCGTCTCAGCTTGGGTGACAGCACAGCCAGATCCCTGCCCAGGTCACTTGGGGGGGGGGGGGGCTAAGGAGCACCGGCCCAGGACCCCGGTGCCTCAGAGTCCTGGGAGCCGAGGGAGGGGAGGACGGCCGGTGGCGCTGACCAGGGCTGAGCGGGGCCAAGAGCACACAGGAGGGGAGCCAAGGATGGTAGGGGACCCAAGCCCTGACCGGCCGCTGGGTCCCTCATTATCACAACAGTGATCTCTCCCCTTCCTCTAACCCTCCAGCCAGGGAGGCACCCACCACCCCTACTGGGAAACAGGCCTGAGCCTGCCCAGGGCAGGGGAGCAGAGGGAGGGGCCTTGCTGGGCAGAGGTCATCTCATGTGAGCTTCCAGCCCCGCCCCTTTCCACTGTTGTCCCGGTCAGCCCACATGTTGTTCTGTTTTGTTTTGAAAAGATTTATTTATTTGAAAGGCAGGGCATCAGAGGGAGGCAGATAGGCACAGAGGATCTTCCATCCACTGGTTCATTCCCCAAATGCCTTCGGACAGCCAGGGCTGGGCCAGGCCGAAGCCAGATGCCAGAACTCCAGCCAGGTCTCCCACGTGGGTGGCAGGGGCCCAAGTACCAGGTGCGTCGGCAGGAAGCTGGACTGGAAGCAGAGGAGCCGGGACAGCACCACACTCAGATTCGGGATGCCAGTGTCATAAGCCGTGGTCCAATCCACTGCGCCACCACGCTGGGCCCAGCCTGCACCTCGCTTCTCCCGTTGTCAAGCTGGGCCTCCTTTGTCCTCAGCTCCCCCAGTGGGGCAGGGGCTCCCCAGGGATTCTGCTCAGTGCCTGGGATGGCTGGGGCTGCTCCGCGGAGCAGAGACGGGGCGATGCGTCTCTCCCCACGGGGCACTGGGGTCATCTGCAGATGACTCAGGAGGTGGAACACAGGCCCGACGCAGGGCAGGGGCTCAAGAGCTCCCAGGGCGACAGGTGCCGGTCTTGTGTGTGGGGCCTGGCGGTGGGGGCAGCCCGGGCTGTCCACCCCCAACCTCTGCCCTTACTCTTGCCGAGCTCCGAGGCTGCTAACCCGCGCAGACACACCCGCCAGCCGTGGGAGCGCGGGGCGATGCTCGGTACAGGGGCTTGATACGCACAGATGGAGTGTTTATTGATTTTGTCCTAAAACACTATACACTTAAAGGAACTAAAAGACTGGACAATTCTGGGCCAGTCTGTAGCGCAGGAACGAGGGCTTGTGCTGGGAGTTCTCACACAGACACCTTCCAAGTGAGACGAGCGCTCACCGGAAACAGAGGAAATGCATAGCTCGTGACGGCGGCGGCCATGGCCCCACAGTCTGCGCCAACAGAATCAAGGCTCTCCCCCTCCCCGTGGCCCAGCGGGGCGCTGCTGCAGGGCTGGGCTCTTCACAGTGTTCTGCTATAGGACCGGGGGCTGAGGCGCTAGCAGGCCCCCCCGCCCCAGCCCCGGGAGGACAAGCCGCCCCAGCAGTCTCCACTTCCGCTCTGGGGGGCCCACGGCCAGCCTGTCCCAGGGCCGCGGACTTCAAGCAGTTTGCAAGTGAAACGTGCTGTCCGAAGCCGTTACGTCTCATTAAAACAGCAGGTGAACTCTTTAGATTCTCTGAATATCAAATAATATATACAGATATACACAAGACATGACAGGTCTCGCATGGCAAAGCATCTCAACCTACGAGGCAGTGGCTTGCACAGTTAGTTTTGCTTTTCAACCTTCTAAATCACTGATAAAATCGTTAATTTGCAAAAGAATAAAGTTTTAAGCAAGAATAGAGAAAATACTTTTTAAACACGGTGACTTTGGGGAGCTCTAGGTGGCTACTCCTGAAGCCTGCACCCCAGGGCCAGGTGGCCAGAACCCGCCCACAGCGTGCGCTCCTCGCCGCGGCCGCCTCCTGCCTCCAACCGCCCCGCGCCCGCCGTGCGCCCCGGCAGCTGCCCTGCGCAGCACGGGCGGAGCCGGCCCTGCCGCGTGACCGCTCAGCCTGCGGCCTGACGTAAGCGTCAATGAACGAATGGCAGAGCAGGCGCGGGGAAAGCAGAGCTGTACACGGCCTTTAGATTAAGCACCTCAAAGCCTTCACTCAGAAAATGGCGCCTAGGTGTGTTCATTGAAGTCGCACGTGACGGGAGAATTCGGGGTGACCGCCGGCCGGGGCCGGGGCGCAGGTCAGGAATACACAGATCCATGATAAGCTGGGGGGGCGGCTCTTCCTCTGTGGCACCGCGGCTTCCTGCGCTCGCAGCTCCTGCTGCACCGGACAGCTCTCCGCCCGCGAGGACGCCGCACGGCCAGCTGGGGGCGCCAGAGCCGCCGCTGCCTGGGCCGGGGGCTAGCGGGGCTCCTGCTGATGGTGGCTCCCATCCCTCCGCCAGCCCGCCCACGGCCCATCACTGGATGGCCTCGACGTAATTGGCCGGGTACAGGCCGACCTGTCCGCTGTCCAAGCGCCCCTTGCACCAGCCCTGCTCATCCTCGTCCTCTATCTTGGTCAGCTCGTCCCCTGGAAGACAAAGAGGAAGCGGGCTCAGCGAGAGGCCAGGGACCCGGCCAGCGTCTGAGCCCCAGGTGGATCCGCCTGCAGCCCCACGAGGGCCCCGGCCTTGGGCATCCTCCCGGGGCTGGGGCCAGGGCTGCTTCACTCCCAGGGCCTCTGAAATGACTGAAGACTGACCACTCTCAGAGCAACCCTGCGGCAAGCGGCTCTTAGTGGCCACCATGGCTCCCAGAGGACGACAGAGTGTTAACTCCGCAGGCCTGAGCCTCCCTCCCTGCCTGTCCCCACCCCACCCCGCCCTGTGCCCCCTCCCTCACGGCTGCCCCCCACTGGCTGCTTCTCGGTGCTGTGGGCTCGGTGTCTTGGCTAACTGAGGCTGTGTGAGGGAAGGGACCCTGTCAGACCCCTGGCCCAAGGCTCGGGCTAAACAACACTCGCCACGCCTCCTGACGCGTGAGACGGACCCTGCCTAGGCTCCATCTTCCCTGCTCTGGGCCAGGCTCTGGTGGGGGAGATTCGGCGATGAGAGGAACAGAGAGAGCCTGCTCCCTCGAGGAGACACACCGGGGACCGGCGGAGCTGTGACAGGGCAGGCGGCGCTCGGGCAGGCGAGGGCTCGCTCTGGGAACCTGGTAGTCCGGGGGCTGTTCTGTCCTGCCTGGTTACCTTGCGGCTCTGTTTCGCTAGCATTTGATTTTTCAGAATCAGATGCAGCTCTGCCCTGTTTGGCAACACGTCCCTGACGTTTTTATTCTGTGTGGCAGCAAAACAGGTGAGGATGTCTGTGATCCGAACCTGGGGCTGGCGGCACTCGCAGGCCCGCCTGGGCTGGAGGCCCAGGGCCGCAGCTCACCGGCCGGGCGGTCTGGGGCCTGCCCACAGCGGGCGCCGAGTGAGCGCGAGCTCCGGCTGCTGCCCCGGAGGCCACGCCGCTGTGTCCACACAGCCTCCAGCAGAGCAGGAGCAGGCAGGCCTCACGTCTGTGCCGAGCGGCCCCTGTGCCCTGCGTCTCGGCCTGGCTGGGGGCTCACTGTGTGCGGAAGCTGCCGCGGTGTGGGACGAGGCGGGCACCGTGGGGCGCGGCAGGCGGCCCGAGCCCTGCTGGGTGCAGAGGCCGCAGCAGAGGTGGGAACTGATCTCACATCGTGAAAAAGCAAAGCAACAGAACACAGCCCAGCGGACAGGGGCGCCTTCCAGTCATGAGGACGTGAGCTGACGACGAGACGTTCATTTTGCTTTGCCTTTGACAATGTGCTTGGAGTTGTCTGTAAACCGCTGTCAAACCCAACAGGAAAGATGGAAAAATATGAAGACATGAAAAATAATAAAGTAGAGGTAACAACCCCAGCACAGACGACGGGAAACTGGATGAAGATGCTTTGAAGGAACACAGGGAAGTGTCCCCAACGCTGGTGGCCAGCCCTGGGGCGGTGTCCGGCGACAGTCAGCTGGCACTGCTGTGAGCCGAGGGCCTCTGGGCACAGCACACCTCCCTCAGCTGTTGGGGTCGGCGGGTACACAGGGGCCTGGGTCCGCTGAGGGTGGCCCTGCTTCCGTCTTCCTGGAGGGACAGGTGCCTGCTCTGGGGTGGCTTCAAGGAGGGGACAAGGCAGAAAAAGGAACCTGGGGTCCTGTGGCCCTTAGCCCGGGGCTGCTACAGGTTCCTCAGGGCTAGCACTCACTTTGCAAACAGAGGGCTGTGGCCGATTTCAGTACACTGCAGCCAGCACATAAAACATACATGTATGCACACACGCGTGTGCACACACGCACGCGTATGCACACACACTCGACAGGACAGAAATCCCCACAGGCAGAGCACCGGCACTCAGGACCCAGACGGTTCTGCAAAGCCAGGGTCAAACCACGGGCAGCCGGGTGTGGGGGGTGTGGCTCTGACAGGGCTGCAGAGCCCTGGCCAGCGCACGGTGCTTCTCTGGGGCCTGGGCAAGGCTGTGGTTCTGCCCAGGACTAGGCTGGCAGCGAGGGCCTGCAGAAGGGCTTTCCTTGGGGACCTGCAGGGCTGGCTGCTCCCAGAGGGTGCTGGGGGAGCCCGGTGGTCCAGGCCGGGAGTGTCTTCTGCTGCCCGTGATCAGTTTGCCTGCCCAGCCCTGCAGGGGAGCCGTCCTGGGCAGAGATCCGGGGCACCGCACTGTTTATTTTCTGAGCTCTGCTCTGCCATTTGAACACCTGCTCTTTTTGAACTGGGGGTGGGGTGGGGAGGTAGGGGTAGTGCGGCCCCATGAGTGAGGTTGGCAGGAACCTTTCCAGACTTTGTAAAACCAAAAAGAGAAACCTCCCAGGCAGGTAGGAAGCCCCCGGCCCCGGGAGCCGCCAGAGCCCACCTACCGGCCTTGAAGCTCAGCTCGTCGTGTTCCTGCCCCTCGTAGTCATACAGCGCCCGGACCCGCACTTCCGTCCCAGAGGTGGTGTCCTCGTCAAAAGGATTTGAGTCCCCGTTGGCATCCGTGGAGGAGAACGGGTTGTTGGACTCATCGTCTGACCAGTCGGCGGGGTAGCTCTGGGTCTTCTCATAGCTGCTCACGCTGCAAGAGAGGGGTTGACACCAGGTCCTTGGCACGGGGCTGGCAGAGGGCAGGAGGCCCCTGCCCAGAGCCTCAGCCCCGCCCCGGGGCCTCCACCCAGAGAGGAGGGGGTGCAAGAGCCTTGGGCTCGGGGCTGACGGCTCCCCAAGGGGCACAGCTCCCCCTGGTGAGATGGCATGCGTGACCAGGCCCTGGCGAGAATTCATGCCATCCACACTCATCCCGAGGCCCCGGGGACAGTGCCCCGGCAGAGGAGAGCCGGCCCCGCTCCTGCAGGCCCTCAGCACAGACATCCTGTCTGCAATTGTCCTCCTGCGGTGGTGGAGCCAGGGCCTTGCGGAGTTACCAGAAGACAGAGAAAAAGCGCCAGAAGAGTGTTAGCTGTGCCCTCCCAAGAAATGGAGAAGCCAGAGACCGGCCACCGCGGGCAGCAGGCCGGACTGCAGCGTGGCCGTGCCCACCTCCACAGGAGCTTCATGCATTGCTCGGTGAGACCCCGAGACGCCCCTGGACAGAGAGAGAGGAAAGAGAGAGCGAGGCGGCACCCAGATGGAAGCGCGTGTTCACCAACTTTTTGGGCTTAATGTCCTCCTTCTCACTGACGGTGCTGCCCGTGTCGTCCTCGTCCTCGAAGGGGTTGTAGCTGGACTGTGACTGGGCGGGGTTGCTCGGGACACTAAGGTTGCTAGGGGAGAGAGAGAGCGTTCAGGGGACCCGGCCCAGCGGCCTCCCGGGGCAGGATCACGGTGCCAGGATTCGAGGCCAGGGCAGCTCCTCGCCCGAGTGCGGGCCACGTTGCTGGGACGGGAGTTATTACTTCAGCAGAACACGAGGCGACACGTGCTTCCACGGCCTTCCCCGCGTCTGCTCTGGGCTCCCACTGCTGTGAGCTGGTGGGTCAGAGAGCTCGGGGGCTCCCTGGGCGGACGCTGGGCCCTGCTGATGAACAGGGGCGTCAGGCTCACCACACCCCCAGCACGGTGCCCGCCTTTGACCACCACACAGCCTTGGCTAAGTAGAAAGAAAGACCCTCCCTGTGCTCCAATGCACTCGATCAGCCGCCCCCCCGGCGCCGAGAGGGCTGGGAGCCAGGGGGCGGGATGGAGGGAAGGCAGTGTGCAAAGCATTGGAAGGGAGACTGCACAAGGTAATAAAGAGAGAAGCCAAGTCCCCCGAGCGCTGGCACCACCGAGGAGCCCTGGACTGCCGTTCGTCACTCCCCCGGGCAGCACCACCCTCCTCTGAGGTCAGGCTGCCGGGAGCAGGCAGCTGCCACCCAGGGGCTGGGAGGGGGCAGGACACAGCTCCACGCCACAGTGTTCTGAGCGGCCAACAACCGTCCCTAGGCTCCAGGCTGTGAGGTGCACAGGCCCAAGCGTTCAGGCTGCTGACCGGTAGGCCGTGTGCTGAGACCAATGAGCCTCCTCCCTCCTTGGCAACTTCTGAGAAGCGCTGGGCGCACAGATTCACCAGCCGGCCAGCCTGGAGCCTCCCCGGGCCCCACGGAGGCAAAGTCTCTTCCTTCTGCATCCCTGGGCCTGGTGCTTACTGCCGGCCCATCCCCCCGCCCCCAGACGGCTGAAGCCGAGTCCTGAAGTGACCACAGCTGCCTGTGGCGTGCAGGCCTCAGGACAGGTGCTGCAGGAACACACTTCCCAGGTTCTGATGAGCTGGGTGCCGCCCCTTCCAGCCACAGCTCGTTTTCAGCCAATGGCTACGTCAGAAACTACCCAGACCTCAGTGAGGAGGTGGCTGCACAGGGACCCCCGCCAGCCTTCGCCCTCCCCTCCTTCACGAAGCAAACACATACATCCCTCGGCAGCACCTGCACCGCCACGGGTGGCACCTCCGCCTCCTCCTGCCGGGCCATGTAGGGCGCCCCCGGGGGACGGACCAGCCCTGGCCTGGTGAGGGACACTCACTGCAGGCTCCCTCTTGGGCCTTGCAGCCAAGGATCATCCTTTGGGCCACTGGCCTGAGACTCGGAGTCCCTGGGGGCGGGGAGACGTGTCTCAGGACTACGCAGCTGGCCCAGGGGACTTGTCACACAGGGCTGGGCCCAGCACTCACCTGCTGGGCTTGCTCTGGAGAGCATGGTCGCCTGTCTGGCTGATGCCTGTCAGGGTGACACCATCAGATGCCTTCTTCTTCTCCCTCCGGCTGAGGGTGCGATTCAGGTCTGCGGACCACTCCTGGACAGCAGGTGCCGAGAGACAGAAATCGGCAGGTGTGCTTGTGGGAAGCCACAGCTGTCCCAGCACCTGCCCTGCGCAGTGAGTGACCCTCGGCCTCATGGCTCTACTCTCACAAGGCTCCCGGGAGAACGCAGCCTCCTCACACCCACCTATGGACCCACAGGTCCTGAACCCCTGCCTGTTAAAAAGAGGGGACTTAGAGAGCCTGGCGTCAGCATCAACTGCCCGCTCGGGCCAATGCACAAGACCCTGTGTCTCACCAGGAGAGCCGACCCCGCCCCTTTCCCCCACAGCTCTCAGCTCCAGCCCCTAGGGCCAGTCCGAGTGGCTGCGCAGGTGTCCTGGGGTCTCCCGCAGTGGACAGGAGCCAGCCCCCTGAGGAGCGGGGCTGGGGCAGGGCCTCCCCCTGGGGAGCTCAAGTTTTTTCCCATTCACACCCTAACTGGTCTCTGGGTCAGGGGTCAACAGCTGGCTCGAGGGAGCCCTCAGCTGGCCTCAACGAGGGAAACAACCCTGAACTACAAGGAGACCAGGGCCTGGGCAGCTCCGTGACCACGGGGGCAGCTGGGCAGCTGTGACCACTCAGGTCTCCAGGGAGCACAGCCCGCCCGCCACAAGGCAGACCAAGCGCTCCTCTCAGGGGCTCACTGTGTTCCCAGCAGTGAACCGGGGCAGGGGGCTGGGTCCTGACTTTCCAGAGAAGGCCACGTGTGCCCGTGTGACTCCGTGCGTTGGTGGGTGTGCCTGCACCTCCCTCCCTCCCAGCGCGGCGTGGCTGAGTCCACAGCTTTGCTCGCACGGAGCTCCAGGCTTTAAGGCTGGAAACCATCTCAGAAACTTCACGTCTACTCTGCCAACTTGTCCCATGAGGAAACTGTGGCCAGAAAATAACCTGGCCATGCAGAATGGGAGGCGGGTCTGGGCCCTGGACTCCCACTCCAGGCCCATTTCTGGTCTACCAGCTGCTCTGCTGAGTGAAGGAAGCCGACTGAGAACTCAGCTGGAAGCCCAGCGTTCCTCAGTGACCTGCGAGTGCAGCAAGCCGTCCAGGCGGGCAGCTTGAGGACCTGCACCAAGCAGACCGGGCAGGGAGGCTGCCGACAGCCCGGAGCACAGCGCCCGGCAGACCCGCTACCGGACACGCCAAGGCTGCCCACAGCCCTGAGCACAGCGCCCGGCAGACCCGCTACCGGACACGCCAAGGCTGCCCACAACCCGGAGCACAGCGCCTGGCAGACCCGCTACCGGACACGCCGCGGGGTGGCATCGGGGAGTTGGCCGCGGCGGGGGAACTTACTTCATCCTTGCGGCATGGAAAATAAAAACAAGTAATGACATTAGAGAGTGTCAGGCAAGGACCACAGCAGCTGCAGATGCGTGCACAAGGGACAGTCTGCGGCCTGTGCCAGGACACCCCCCCCCCCCAGGACACCACATCAGCACACTTCCTCCCATTGTGCGTCCCCAGGGGAGAGGTGGGCGGACTCTGGCTCCCACTCCGACGGTCTCCCAGAGCCTCTGTGGAAGGGACACAGGCTGCTCTGCCACCTCCCACAGGGTGCCGGGGAGCACCGGGCTGACAGACCCCTCCCCCTCGCGGCCATTTGGAGAAACTTTGTGGAAACCAGCAAACAGAACACAGGTGTGAAGATGGGCAGCCACAGACCAACCAGCCCAGAAGGCCGGGCAGGGCCTAGGGACAGTCACCATAGGGACCAGGCCAGGGCCCCCAACCCAGCCTGGATCAGGTCACTGGATCCTCGGCAACCCAAGGAGACGGGTCACCGCTGCCCCATTTACATGTGGGGGACAGTCACACAGAGGCCAAACGGCTTGCGCAGCTCCACAGCCGGCGAGCGGCTGGCAGGGGCTGACTGCAGCGTGGGCACAAGGCACGTGTGCGGCAGGGCAGTCACTGCCCAGCATCCTCCCCAGGGCAAACATGGCCAAGCCCTGACCCCCTTCTCAGCCTACACATGGTGCACCGGCCCTCACCTGCTCCGCCCGTCAAGGGGAGAGAGAGAGTGCTTCTTTCAGGGAATGTGGCGGACAGAACTTTTGGCCAATGCCTACTATGCTACCGTGAGGGCCCCATGTGGTCTGGTGACCCAACCCTAGACTGGATGGTCTCAGAGCCCCAGGCCCTCACATCTTACAACATGAAGAGGCCAGACTGGGAAGCGCACAGCCAAAGTGGGAAGAGTGGAAAGGCGCTCACTCGGAACGCAGAGCTGCTGAATTCAGCCCTGGAGCACCGAAAGTCTCCTCGTGGAGAAGGTCAGGTGCTGCCCGCTAGGACAGCCTTCACCTCCCGTGGGCCACGGTGGCTGCTCCCTTCCCAGCCATCCCACGGTGTGGGGCAGCACCCCAGCTCGTGTGTCTGCAGCCGGTGGTCAACAAGTGGCAGACCACAGAGGACACCCTTGTGCCTCCACCAGGGGGTCGGCAGTGCCTGCAGCGCCCAGGCCTCACACGTGACCTTGGCTCGGGGGCTGCCTGGTACACTAGCCCAAGCAGCAGCCCACGAACGTCTTTGCGCTCAACTCCACAGGCCCAGGGGCCCTACCAGGCCAAAGAGGCCACGCTGGAGCCTCCTCTTACCTCAAACTGCGGCCAGTTCATGGCCATGCCTGGCCCGTGGTTGGCCCGGAACCACCTCAGGTCCTCCACTGCATCGGCCGCCTTGATGTTCTGTTCCAGGTCGCGGTAAATGGCCTTGTAGCTGCGTGAGAGGGACACAGGCTGTCCAGGACCAGCCTCGTTCATCCAGCCCCTTACAGGGCGCCAGGGCAGGCGCCAGGGCGGCCCTCACAGACGCAGAGCAGGGGTCGCCCGGCTGCCGCGGGCACAGGTGCAGACAAGCAGCCACCTCAGCTCAGACCAGGTGGCCACAGGTGAGCTTTGCTCGCACTGTGACAAGCGTGTGGGCCGTGCAGGGCACCACGCTGAGTGTGACCTGGTACTTCCTCCCTCCATGGGCCTCAGAGGGGCTGGGAGGTGTGTGCCCAGACGCGCAGAGCCCTGTGGCTGCCCCTGTGGAGGCAGCCCCGCCAGCTCGGCTCCCGGGAAGCTGCCCTGCGGCAGGAGTGCGCGGCACGGCAGACTGATACGTTCACTTCTGGGACCTCAGAGGAAAGGGTGCACCGGGGTCCTAAAGCCGGGACCTCAAACGTGACCTCCCTGGGAACAGGGTCTTCACAGAGGCGATCGAGCGGGAACGAGGTGACTAAGGGGGGCTTTACTGCGTGAGGATTGGTGTCCTTACAACAAGGGCAATCGGATAGAGACGCGACACCGAGAGAAGGCGGCCGTGGGGCGGGAGCGACGTGGCGCGAGCCGAGGGGGGCGGTGGTGGCGGCTGGCAGCCCCGGAGGCAGGAGGGACTCCTGGAGCCTTCAGAGAGCAGAGGCCTGCAGCACCCGGCCTTGCTACTGCGTCACAGCAGCTGCAGGGGATGGCTGCACCACCACACGGGCGGCAGTCTCTCCCGGAAGACCAAGGAAGACAAGCCGTGCCGAGCCCGGCCTGGGGCAGGAGGTACCTCCCACACTGCAGAAGTTCCACACCCAGCCACGGGGAGCCGCAGCCTGCCCCAGGCCAGCGGTGCAGCCTCCTCTTCTACAAGGAGGGGTGCGTCTCCTGGACGAGGCCCTCACAAAGACCGACTGAGGGTGGCAGAGTGACTGAAGTAACCGCTGCCTCTGATTCGCTGCTTGGCAGGAGACAGGGGATCCAACTGCCCACGACAGCAAGCCTTGGCCTGCGGTCCACCCCTCAGCGTCCATGGCTCCAGGGAGCCTGGCCCTCTGCCCTGATGAGGCCATCACAGGACCAAGGATGGGGATGAGCAGAAGAAACACCACGGCTCCCACAGAATGCCTCGGAACTGTGGTCTGTGCTGTCCTGGGGACCTAGAGCCACTGTGCAGCTCTGGATCAAAAGGGCCACACATCCTGTCTGGAACCCAGGCCATCCCGGGGGCAGGATGTGCTCAGCCTGGGGAACGCTGGACGCACCCTCAGGGGTTTTCGAATCAGCCAGGTGTGGCTGTTCCTAGCTGCAGCCCCAGAAGGCAGAGCACACCCTGCCGGATATGCTCAGGCAGGGCCAGCCGGTCCAGCCACGCCTGCCACAGGTGTGCGGCACCACATGGACGTGGCATCAAGAGTACAGTGTGAGCACGTGCAAGCGACCCTGCCACCCAGGCCCGAGAGCAGCTCCAGGAAACTTACCCAGCCACGTTGGACAGGTCCAGGTGCTTCTGGACCTCCAGCAGAACCTCCCGGAAGAAGCGGAGGCGCTTCTCCTCGAACTGCTGGCACTGCTCAAACACCTGCTCCATGTTCTCCATGTACTGGGGGGTGCCCTGGTCCAGCTCCTTCAGGGACTTCTCATACTTCTCCTTGGTCTACGTGGGAACCAGGCACGAGGTGAGGGCTCATCCACATGGCCGCTCGCCCGCCCACCCACCCCTGGACTTTCTCAGGCCTCCCAGACTCCAAGACCCAAGAGCAGGAGCTCTGGCGTCTGACAGACATCAAGTTCAAGTCCCAGTCTAGACCCTCTGCTTCAGCGAGACAAGTCACATGGCTGGCTCCTGTCCTGCCTCTCAGACCAAGCCCACACCGGTATGTAGGTGAAGGGGAGGGCCTCCCTGGGGCTCAGTGTACACGGTTCTAACCGTGTCAGCTCTCAGTGCCAGGTGGGGCCGGAGCCGACCCCGGTGTGCTCCCCTCTCCCCGGAGCCGCCTATTCCTCACAAGATGGCGACGGTTCCTACTTCACAGTGTTCTGTGATGTCAACAACAGACACAGAGCTCAACTCAAAAGTCCTTGAACTCCACCCCACTGGACCCTTACACAGGAGTCTTAGGGGAAGAGCAGGTGGCCTCGCTCAAGGCTGTCCCAGGACAGTCAGAAAGTGCACGAAGTTTCCAGGAGCTGGCCAGGTGAGCAGGTGGCTCTGGCAGGCACGTGCCTTGGGGTCAGCACCGTCACGTTCACACAGGCCTCCCCAGCCTCACCGCGTGTGCCAGGTCACTCATCTGATAGCTGGGAGGAAATGCGGGATGGCAGGACGGCCGGGCCAGACCGGGCCCTGCTCATCACAGGTCTTTCCACTGTAAGACCCCAGAGAGGGGGTGGGCGTGGCTCCACCGGGGGTTAGACTTCTCTGCCCCTCCTGAGGCCCTGCAGACCCCTGGAGCACGTGCTCGGACCCCACCCCACCCCACCCCCTTCTCTGACGTGTGCCAGGGAAGCTCCTCTTCGCACTCCAGGGAAACCTACTTCGTGAAGCTCCCCCGACTTGCCCAGGAGCCCCGGCACAGAGGACAAGGCCCTCCTCCAGGCCCAGCGGCCACAACACTGCCAGTGCTGACAGCCCGGGAAGCCTGTGGGAGCCGAGACTCACAGCTAAAGCTTCAGACACCTGCACCAAAGGCTTGGTGTCCACAGAGGGACGCAGAGCGGAATCTTCCCCGGGCCCTGGAGCGGCACAGGCCACGCAGTCATCACCCGCCGCTCCCGCCGCCCCCGCCGCCTTGCAACGGGGCAAAGGAGGGGAGCCTTCACCTCCTAGGACACATCTAGTGACGAGATGCTGCCTGGTCTTTCGATCCCACGGCCCTGGGATCTCCCAGTCACTGCCCTCCCCTGCCTGAGACGGAGCCCTGCTGTCTGCTCACTGTCTCTTCTGGCCAAAGGCCATTGTGCTGAGCTCCTGGCCTCCCACCGCCCCGCCACACTCTCTGGGGCACGGCACTGTCACGGCTGCAGGACCGCAGCATCCGCTCTCCCAGCCCCTGCTTCAGGTCTCAGCGCACTGGGCTCCTTCGGCCTCCATCCCCTCCACGCACAACCACAGCAGCCCTAGGCCCTCTGCCCTCCCACGCTGCTGACTCAGCTGGCCCTCCAAGTCACTGGTACACACTGGTCCTCACAGCCCCCTCCCAGCTATGAACCAGACCCTTGCCCACTCCCACGCCCGTGCCCTGCACAGGCCCGTCCCCCTGCCCACAGTCTGGCAAGCACGCCACCACCTCGATCCCCTGGGCACAGGGATCGCCCGTGGCTGCTGCTCACCCAGCACTCAGCTCTGCCTGTCATCCGAGGTGGGCGCAGGGCTGTGCTGAGGCAAGGTGCTCACCTGGGTAACCGTCCTGACACAGGGAAGGTGACTTACTGGTATTTACCCCTCTCCGCCCACCCACCGGAGCGGTCACGAGATCAGTCTGCCGGAATCATGGACCAGTGCTGTGCCGGCACCCAGGCAAGCAGACAAGTGTGAGGAGTACCTTAAGCACATCTTGCTTGCATTTCTCTACTTTGTCTTGCAGTTTCTTGAGCTGCTCCGGGTTGAGGGACGGGTCTGCCTTGCTGTTGGCCTCCCTTGAGATGGCCAGCTTCTCCTCCTTGCACGCCGCGTGGTGGGCTTTCTTGGCTGCCTCCACCTGCAGGGAGAAGGAGCTGCTGAGCACCGGCCACACTGCCGGCAGTTCAGAGCGCTCGCTGCAGACCGTGGGGTGCACGGGCTCTGCCGACGAGGGAAGCAGCAGGTTCAGAGCTCAGGAAGACCATCAAGCAACGGGCCCGAACGAGGGTTTCTGGGGCCACTCTGCCCGCGCCGGTCCAGGCACAGCAGAAGGAAAGAACCTGGGCCGCCACGAAGCTTCCAGTGTTCACCTTGGGGAAGGCAAACGAGAGAATTAAACGCTCGAGTAACTTAGAGGGTGCAAAGTACTGTGGGGGATTGACACAGCAGGGCTGGAGGAGGTCAACTGAGATTACGGGGAGCGAAACCAGAAGAAGGTGTGGACCCTGGAGGCCCGAGCTGCCAGGCGGCTACAGAGGGGAAAGCGCACACGAGGGAGAGAGCTGTGCCAGGGAGGGAGGCCAAGAGTGAGTTACACACACACATACACACACACACGACGCCAGGGTGGAAGGCCAAGAGTGAGTTACACACACATACACACACACACGATGCCGGGGAGGGAGGCCAAAAGTTACACACACACACAAACGATGCCAGGGTGGAAGGCCATGAGTTACACACACACACACACACACACACACACACACGATGCCGGGGTGGAAGGCCATGAGTTACACACACACACACACACACACACACACGATGCCGGGGTGGAAGGCCAAGAGTGAGTTACACACACATACACACACACACACACACGATGCCGGGGAGGAAAGCAAAGAGTAAGTTACACACACACACACACACACGATGCCAGGGTGGAAGGCCAAGAGTGAGTTACACACACACACACACACACAAACAATGCCAGGGTGGAAGGCCATGAGTTACACACACACACACACACACACACACACACGATGCCGGGGAGGGAGGCCAAGAGTGAGTTACACACATGCACACACACACACATGATGCCGGGGAGGAAAGCAAAGAGTAAGTTACACACACACACACGATGCCGGGGTGGAAGGCCAAGAGGGAGTTAAACACACACACACACACACACACACGATGCCGGGGTGGAAGGCCAAGAGTGAGTTACATACACACATACACTCACACACATGATGCCAGGCAGGAAGGCCAAGAGTGAGTGTTACACACACACACACACACACACACAATGCCGGGGAGGGAGGCCAAGAGTGAGTTACACACACACACACACATAATACTGGAGTGGAAGGCCAAGAGTGAGTTACACACACACACACACACACACACACGATGCTGGAGTGGAAGGCCAAGAGTGAGTTATACACACACACACACACACACACACACGATGCTGGAGTGGAAGGCCAAGAGTTACACACACACACACACACACACACACGATGCCGGGGTGGAAGGCCAAGAGTTACACACACACACACACACGATGCCGGAGTGCAAGGCCAAGAGTGAGTTACACACACACACACACACACACACACGATGCCAGGGTGGAAGGCCAAGAGTGAGTTACACACACACACACACACACACATGATGCTGGAGTGGAAGGCCAAGAGTGAGTTATACACACACACACACACACACACACACGCTTCCTAACTGGAGCCAGACCGTTCACTGTAAAGGGAAAGGGGAGTTTGGAGCAACAGTCTCATGAGGGGAAGTCATTTCCTCACAAGCAGGACGAGAAGAAAGGAAAGGAGAGGTGGCGAAAGCCAAGACAGAGAAAGAGCCTGTTTCTGGGTGGCTCTGAGGAGGCGGCAGGCAGTGCGGCTCCTAGGAGAGCCTGGGTGCAGAGTTGATGTCGCTATAGTGGGGTGGGGGCCCAGCTGAGGCCACCCTGAGGCTGGGGGCTGCAGCCTCCAGTCAGTCAAGGCCAACAAGACTCAGTGGCTTTGGCTGATACTTTTGAAAAAAGGAATATTAGTAACATTTGCAAATTTGGGAAAAAAACCCACATAAGAGATAGAAAAATACCTGAATTAATCCTTTTCTGCCAGTCCAAAGAGATCTTTTAAAAGTTTATTTAGGGGCCGGCACTGTGGTGTAGCGGGTAAAGCTGCCACCTGCAGCGCCAGCATCCCACGTGGGCACCGGTTCACATCCCGGCTGCTCCACTTCTGATCCAGCTCTCTGCTGTGGCCTGGGAAAGCAGTGGAGGATGGGCCAAGTGCTTGGGCCCCTGCAGCCATGTAGGAGACCAGGAGAAGCTCCCGGCTCCTGACTTCGGATCAGTGCAGCTCTGGCCACTGCAGCCACCTGGGGAGTGAACCAGCAGACAGGAGACCCCTCCCTTCCTCCCTCCCTTTCTCTGTGTAACTCTTTCAAATAAATAAATAAAGTTTTTAAAAAGTTTATTTATTTGAGAGAGACACAGAAAGAGAAGAGAGGTGGATGGACAGAGTTCCCATCAACTAATTTACTCCCCAAATGCCCACAACGGCTGAGGCGGAGTCAAGCTGAAGCCAGAAGCCAGGAACCAAAAACCCAGGTCTCCCATGTGGGTGGCAGGGAACCAACGCTTGAGTCATCACTGCTGCTCCCAGGGTCTGCGGCGGCAGGGAGCTGGAGTCAGGAGCAGAGCTCGGACGCGGCCGCAGCAGTGGTGTGGGACGCGGGCATCCCACGCAGCAGCCGCGTCACCAGGCCGAAGGGACTCACGTCTGGCTACACGACCAGGCGTCAGGAGTTCGGGCTTCGAGCCCCATTGCCACGTGGTTCTGATCCCCGGTACCCAGGCCTCCACAATGAGCCCGGGGGGGGGGGGGTGGTGGACAGTGAACACTGCCCAGGAAGCACTGGGGAACGGGGGCGTGGCTCCCCCTGCCAGCCCTGGCCTCGGGCTGGCGCAGCCGGCAGGAAGGCCCGGGAGCGTGGGGGAAGCACAGCTGGCGCGTGGCCAGCAGGAGGAGGCCCTGCGGCAGCTTCACCTCTTTCAGCTTCTTGGCCCAGGGCTTCTGCGCCTTCCGGAAGCTGTCCTCGGCCTCCTTGGTCTCCTTGAAGCCGCCCATCATCTGCTTGTGGAAGGCGTCCTTCTGCCAGTTCTTGATCTTCTCGAAGTCCTCGTTCATCAGCGCGGCTTTCACCTCCAGGTGCAGCTCGCTCACCCGCTCCGCCTCCGACATGAGCGCGATCCAGGCCTTCTCCACGGTGCCGTACTGCGGCCCTGGTGAGAGCAGCAGCTTCGTCAGCGCTGGCCAGCGCCGCTGGGGGGTCCTCCCGGGGACCGACAGGGCCCGCACTCGCGCCGGCACACGCTGCCTTGTGGAGCTCTTTCAAAGGCAAAGCTGGGCACCTGGGAAGCCTGAGTTTGCATCCAGGTGGCCAGAGAAGGGAGTGGCCGCGCACCTCACACGGCCCTCCTGCCTCCCGCCTCTCAGCAAGGTTGAGACGGGAGCCCGCCTGCACCCAGCTGGAAATCTCGGGGCAGCGGGTGGGCCGAGTCCCCTCACTCCCTACTCAGGAAGAAAACCTAGCCCAGGCTGTCGTCGGTAAGGGGCAGTGCCGGGTGGCTGAGACCACCGGCGGGGGGAAGAGACGCTGTGAGAGCTGAGGGTGCAAAAGGAGAAGGCCCAGGGCCAGTCCCACGCTCACCAGCTGCTGATGGGCAGTGTGGTCTGCCTCCCACCCTGAGGAGCCCCTCTCATCTCCGACCCAGGGACATCCACACCAGCAGGCTCCCTCCCCGCGGGGCAGCATGCTTTCAGCACCACCCCTGCCCCCCATGAATCTCACGAGCTTTCTGGAAGGAGGGCGGGGACAAAACCTCCACCTCCCAGCACCTGTAGTCCCTCCCTGCCAAGTTCAAAATAAGAAGGCCTGGGTGTCGCCACACAGCCTCTCCTGACGTGCTGCATGACCATGTGAAGAGTGACCAGTGCTGGAAAGCATGGCCTTTGGTTACACAGGAGCTGCTCCGAGTTGGGCTGGCCACGGCGGTGTGTCCCATCAACAACAGGACTGGGGCAGCCCTGCGTCCCCAAGGAGCCTGTGCCTCTGCGTGATGGGCACCCTGCTGCTCCCCAACAAACTCCAGCTGCCCAGAGCCCCTGGCCGCCTCCAGGCGCGGGCAGCGCCGCGCCTCCTCACCCTTCTCCACGAGCTGCCTCCAGCGCCGGGCCCACTCGGTGAGCTGCTGCGCGTACGCCTTCTCGATGCGCGCCCGCTCGTGCAGGCAGTTCATGAGGTCGCTGCACAGGCGGTAGCCATCATCGATCCGCTTCACGGTCCGCTTGTAGTTCCCCACCTGGGAGGCAGACCCTCGGTGAGGCGGGCTCAGCACAGCTGGCCACCTGCCGCCTCTCCCTGCGCTGGGACTGCCTGCCTTCCCCTGCTGCGGCGCAGGGGCTCCCGGCCCGCCAGCGTCGCCTCTCGCCTGCGGCAGCCCACGAGCCCCCACACTGTCAGCACAGACTGGTTCATGACTGACAGCAGCTGCTCAGGGGAGGGCCCAGCAAGGAGGGAGTGTGGGGCTGAGGACCCAGACGGCTGCTCCTGCAGATGGAGCGGCTGGGGCCAGCGAAAATGCTTTGTTTTTAAACAGAAAACTCATAGTGTTGCAACTCAGATTAAAACGGCCTTCAATTTCCGAGATGGGCTTCCTTGGCTGCAGGCCCCAGGAGCACGGCTCCTCCCACAGGCCCGCAGGTGCCTCCTGCTGTGTCATCCTCCGCAGCTGTGGCAGAGAACGCGATTTCCCACCACTGAGTGACCTTGACTGCCAGGTGTTCCAGACCTCCACGCCCCACCCCCCCCACCCCCCGGCTGGAATAACTGCCCCCCTTGCACAGATGACAGCGTGGAGGCTGGCATGTTATGGCATTCGCTGAGACCCACAGCCACCATTTGAGAGGACACAGGTAGCTGGCACCTGAGCACACAGAGCAGCCAGGGCGGAAAAAGGACCCATGACACGGTGATCCTTTCCACCACTGTCTCCCAAAACCTCAGTCAACCCCGTGCCACTTTACCTTTTCTTATCTGATTTTTTAGAAGATTTACTTATTTTGAAAGTGTTAGAGACAGCTCTTCCACTCCCTGCTTCACTCCCCAGATGGCTGCAATGGCAACCGGGACAGAATCCGGCGCCCCAACTGGGACTGGAACCTGGTGTGCCAGCACCACAGGCGGAGGGTTAGCTTATTGAGCCACAGTGCCGGCCTCATTTTTTTTTTTTTTTTTTTTAAGATTTATTTGTCTGAAAGGCAGAGTTATATAGAGAAAGAGAGAGACAGAGAGATCTTCCATCTGCTGCCTCACTCCCCAAACAGTTGCAACAGCTGGTGCTGGGCCAGGCCTACCAGGAGCCAGGAGTTTCTTCCGGGTCTCCCATGTGGGTAGCAAGGGCCCAAACACATGGGCCATCCTGTGTTGCTTTCCCAGGCACATTAGCATAGAGCTGGCTAGGAAGTGGAGCAGCAGGGAGTCGAGCCAGCGCTCCAACATGGGTGCACGCATCCCAGGCAGCACTGTAACCCACCGCGGCCCAGCACCAGCACCCAGGCTCTGGCTGCCTGGCATCTTCCGTATTCTCTCTGGTCAGCGTCCATCTGGAAGCTCCCAGACAACACAAGGACCTCGCTTGCTCTGGCAGGAGGGTCACAGGCTCTAGGAACAGGGTGTGGAGGAAGTGGGTGGCTCCACCTGGAAGAGGGGTGGTGACACACCTGGCCAAGGGACAAAGCCGTGGGCCCTGCGGGAAGGGCTGCCTGAGGCCAGAGCTCAGATGGCCCTGCTCCTGGGGCCGAGCCCTGCCCCAGCGGCATTCTCACTCCTCGAGGCTGGCGTGAGCCCACCGCGATCCGCGATGTCCAGCAGCCCTGCTGGAGCTGGATTGGCTCTCAGACGGCGACCCCTGTCGCTCTTCCAGCTTGGCCGCTCGGCAGTTCATACCAAACACAGGTTCTAAACCTGAGCTTTTTGTCTTTATAAGATTTATTTTAAAGTCAGAATTACAGAGGAAGAGGCAGAGAGAGAGAGAGGGAGAGAGAAAGAATGAGTGAATGAGAGAGAGAGGTCTTCCATCCTCTGGTTCACTCCCCAAATGGCTGCAATAACTGAGGCTGGGCCAGGCTGAAGCGAGGAGCCAGGATCATCTTCTGGGTCTCCCACGTGGGTGCAAGGGCCCAAGCCCTTGGACCATCTTTGCTGCCTAAGCAGGGAACTGGATGAGAAGTGGAGCAGCCAGGACTCAGACTGGCGCCCATATGGATGCTGGCGCTGCAGGAGGCGGCTTTACCTGCCACACCACAGCACCGGCTCCAGTGAACCTGCGCTTCAATTCCATGTTTTAGTAGCTCCTTTTAGGAAGGTAAAAGCAAGCATTTTCACAACACATCAGAAGTGACGTTGTGTACCTGCTTCCCATTAGGTGGGGCCTCGCTGTCGTTATGAAAATCACAGCAGAAAAAAACACCCAGGAACACACACTGCCGCGGTGGCAGCAGGCGACAGGAAGTTCATGGTGGTTTCCCGCTGCTGCCAGCAGCACTCAAATTGGCAGTCGCCCCCAAAGCATGCATTTGGCTCCCCAGAAACCTGCCCACCTCTCTGATTTTCAGGACCCTTGAAAAATGTTGACAAAGGAAAGGACAAGTCTCAGCCAGTCACGTGAGAGCACAGCCCAGCGGCACTGCAGCACCTGGCATCCCCTGGCACCTCCAAAGCGGTGGTGAGCACAGGAAGGCTGTCGGGGAGAGGCCACGCCGGCTTCTGTGCCGGCCCTCGGCAGGGGAGCCCGTGCTCATCAGTCGGGTGGAGGGGTGAAGGCAGGGCACACTCAACAGGCTCAGGGGCTCACGGCAGGAGCCCTGCTGTCTCCTTCAACGAAAGGCTACCTGGGGGCTCCTGAGAGCCCATCGCGCCTGGCCTCCACCTCCGTAAATCACCAGCGGTGTCGGTGTGGCACTCCCATCCCCACGCAGGCACTGTGGTCCTAGACAGAGCTACTGATGCTGTTCTCGAAAGTCAGAGAGAATCGACTCGGGGAAGCCGCCCTCTCCAGGGGCACACGTAGCTGAGTTTAGACACACGCACACCGCGTCCATATCAAGGCACGGAACACTTCCACCTCCCCACGAAGTCCCCGGTGCCCTCTCGCAGTCCACTCCCCACAACCGCTGCCCTTTTCCGGGATGGCCGAGAACGTGGCCCACAGCGGCAGCTCACCCTGTCACTGCTGCCACGTGCACACACCACCACTGATCTGCGCCTCCCGCTGACAGGTACAGGGCTGCTCTCAGTGTGGCGTAACTATGAATGAAGAAGCGGTAAGTACTAATCTACAGCTCTTTGTTGCAAGGAAAATTAAAGCCGAAAGACCAAAGCGACTGAGCTATCCCCGTAACTACAGCCCAGGAGACGGGAGAGCGTGGACCTGGGAGAGCCTTCGACCTGGGCAGGCACGTTCCTTTCCAGCACACGGGGGAGCCCACGCCCAGACGCACGGCGTCCTGTCACTTACATGCTGAGAACCAGTGTCATCCAAGCAGCACACATTCCGGTCTCACAAACGGCCCTGAATTCACTCCTACTGCCTCCCTCTCTGGAATTTCTCGTTCCTGCTCCTCTCCCATTCGTGGTTCCCAAAGAACGGCTTCTCATGAATTTCTCAGTTGCCGATCCCGCACCTGCTACCGTGTGAGGCCTCCCAGCGCCTCCTGGAGATGGCTTGAATGTTGTTTCCTGGGCTGCAGTTCTGAATAAGCCCAAATAGACTCCTCCGTTTTGTAACTGACTCGTGCCTCAGCTGTCTCTCAAGGGTGAACAGTGCGGACACATATTTTCACTTCTCTTGGGAAAATACCCCTGCATGGATGACGCTCTGTGTGCGTTTAACAAAACTGCGGAACTGGGACCCAAAGCGGCTGTGCCCTGTGCACTCGCGTCAGCAGCCCAGGAGAGCGCCGGCTGACCTGCCTCCCCACCAGCACGCCGTCTTGCCAGGACTCTGTTTCTACACACAGCAGTATCCTGCGGCTTTAATCCGCACGTCCCCAATGTCTAATGACACTGACGACGTTTAATTTAACACCCATGTGCCTGCTTTATACCTTTTAAAAATCAACATAATTAGGATGGGTTCTAAATGCAAGGAAATTAATTTTGAAATTTCTGACAAATTGATCATATACTGGAATAAGAGTGTGTGTGTGTGTGTGTGTGTGTGTGAGACCAGTCTTCTAAATAAAAGCTCTTTTACTTCTTCAAATTACTAGCTTGTTTCCAGATGGCCAAGTGGCAGACAGTTTAATGCAGAAACTGGTAGTACACAAGCTTTGCTCCAAATCCCACTGTCAGCTGATCCATTCACAAAACGCCCATTTTTGGATGAGGTCTGATATATCTATGTCCCCAACTCCCTCTACACTCGGGCTCACCCCACTCAGATCCTCAGACACCAAAGACAAATGCCTGGGGCACCTGCAGGGTGAGGTACCTCACAGGGTGCCAGGGCTGCGGCACCAGGCAGCAGGGAGGGGTGAGGGGACACTTAAGGGACTTTTCAAGGACCGGTAGGAAGTGGAGATTAGAGGCACAGGGAACAGCAGCAGCAATGGCAACGACCAGAGCCATGAGACACCCACCAGGAACAAAACACAGAACGCAGGGAGGTGCCTGGACATGGGGTGGGGCCTGCTGGGGACCACTGCGGGGAGATCCTGGAGGGAAGGTGTGGAAGAGGCCTCTTGACACCACGGCTGCTTCCTGGGGCCAAAGTGGGCCGCTCTGTCCTCCAGGGGACAGGTGGGGAGGGGCGGTCGTCATGCACACCTCGCCAGGGCGGGGCCTCCTTCCCAGAGGCTTCCTGGGGCCGCTCGCTGCCTCCCAGCCATCAGGCCTGGCCCAGGGCCTCCACTTTCCACCCACAATACCCTTCCCCTGGGCCCAGAGCTCTCAGCTGCCCACCCTCTTCCTGGCTGCAAACCTCCCTTCAGCAGGCCAGGCTCTGAATCATTTCTCTGGCTGTCTTTGGCCCCACGCCCTGCGACTCCAGCGCAGAACAGCCTGGTTTTCCAGCTAGCTGGGACTCCCCGCATTTGTGGAAACATCTGTGGAATCAGGAACAGCGGCGGTGGACTCGGTGCACTGTTCTAACAGGCTGCACCAGTTCCTCATCCACCCTGCAGGCAGGTGGGTGGGAACAGTCCCCAGGGACCTGGAGAATGCCTGCTTCTGACCTCACCGCCCACGCACGTTGCCACCACCTTTCTGTGGAATGCAGCAGCCTGAGGCAGCAGGAAAGCTGGCAGACTTGGAAGCAGACCTGGGCATTCCTGGGGGGTGGACTCACAGCCCCTGCACTCCCCCAGCCTCCTCAGTGCCCAACAGAGGGCTGACAGGTCACCGGCACAGAAGCGGCTGTATTTGGTCCCTTTAAATGGACCATCTAGGGGCTGGTGTTGTGGCACAGCAGGGTAAGCCTCTGCCTGTAGAGCTGGCATCCCATATGGGCGCCGGGTGGAGCCCCGGCTGCTCCACTTCCCACCCAGCTCTCTGCTGTGGCCTGGGAAAGCAGTGGAAGATGGCCCACTTGCTTGGGCCCCTGCACCTGTGTGGGAGACCTGGCAGAAGCTCCTGGCTCCTGGCTTCAGATCAGCTCAGCTCCAGGTGTTGCAATCATCTGGGGCGTGAACCAGTGGATGGAAGACCTCTGTCTCTCCCTTTCTCTGTCTGTAACTCTGCTTTGCAAATAAATAAAATATTTTTTAAAAAATAAATGGACCTTCTATTTTAATACTTTTCACCTTCTCTTTGGTTGGTGACCACCAGACCCAGCTCATAGATAAATCAGCTAGTTACAGCCAAAGTTCCAGGGTAAAGCCCATGGTCCGAGTGAGAAGCGGGCCAGGCAGGACCACCCCAAAGCTGCTAATGCTCCACCTCCAAGGGCCTCCCCCACCCCTTCCTGCCCAGGCCTCTGGACCTCTGCAGGACTCCGGCACGTGGGAGTGTGGGGCCAGGCGTGGCAGTCCCACACTGAGGGCAGTGTCAGGCCTGGGCTAGACCTCCCTGCCCACCATGATTCAGGCCCTGCTCTTGCCCCAGCCAGCCTCGTGTCCCGTTTCCCAGATCTGACCAGACCCGGGGTGACAGCAGGCACCCTGGAGTCCCAGTCCCTAAGCCCTGCAGAGCGGTACCTGGAGGGGGCGTGGCCTGTCTCCCCACTGCCTTAGCCGGACCCACCCTCGACACGCAAAGGAAAAGCATGAGAGGTGAGCCAGAGCGACTCAAAGATGACGCAGGCGCATGCTTCTGTGATGTACGGGGAGGCTCTGTAAGCACAATCTCAAAAGTAAAAGCTACAAGGACATACACACACACACTTCATTACATCGAAAACTAAGAGTTTCCATTTAGAAGCCAACACCACGGACAGACAGCAGACCGCGAATGCTCTCTCACAATCAGCTACATTTAAACTTGACAAGGGACTAAAATCTGGAGTGTGCCAGAAAGTCCTGCACACTGCAGCCAAGAGGCCCCAGCATCCGGGGCTGTTCCCACGCGCGGGCCCCGGAGGATGCACTGAGAACCACCAGGCTGCAATGACAGCAGGAAGGGCGCGGGTGGAGAGGTGTGCAAGCCGCACCCCGACTGTCCTGGTGGGAACACGGGCTGGGGAGCCTTCTTCCAGGAGCCAGGCGGGGCGGAGTCACGGAGCACGCACCTGCCCTACAGCCCCAGACACGTCTCCTCGGGCCCCAGGGCAGGCAGCACACGGGTCAGCGCGAGGCACAGTGAGGACGTGCAGACCGGCAGACCCTGACGCCCGGCAAACACAGCCACGTGGCGCACGCCGTCACTGGGAGGCGGGCTAACAAAAGCTCTAACAGGCACCCAGGGGAGGAGAGAAGGGGCGAGGCGAGTCGGGGAGCGCGCCCCCACCCTACCTGCCCCCATCCTTGCACTCTGCTAAGGCTCGGCTCCTTTTCCTCGCGGAGGGTTCTCCTGCTGGAGCAGCACGGAGAGCTCGCATCACCGGCACTCGCCTGGAGAGACCAATTCCTCACTAACGGCCCCTGCTGGCTGCCCCTGCTGGGGGCCACGAGGGTCCTTCCGAACACGGTCCCCATGCCCTCCGCTCGTCTCCAGCCTGCCTCACGTGTGAGCGGCCTCCCTGCCAGGTTTCCAGCAGCGGCGGCATCACAATAGACTGTTCTGCCAGGCGGGCCCTGCTGGTGCTGTCACCTCATTCAGTTCTGTGACCACCAGTGTCTGTTTCACAGAAAAGGGAGCGCAGGTGCGAAGAGGTGCAGTCAGCCAACACCACGCAGCCAGGAAGAGGCAGAGCTCCCCGGCCAGCCGCAGGGGCCGAGTCTGAGGGCTGCAGGGTGGAGAGTTCAGGGTCAGTGTCGAGGGGGCTTCTACCCATCCCACCGGTTCCAGCAAGGGCCGCACACAGAGTTGGAGGCTGCAAAGCACAGCAGGGGTCCTCGCCCCGCCTCCTCCTGCTGACAGGGTCATCTCAGACACCCCAAGCCTGCAACAGCTGGATCACTTGCCAAGGATGACCTTGATGTAACCCTCCGAATGATCAAGCCCTTTAGCCCGGGACCCTGGAGGCTGAAGCTCCACAGCCAACTCCTCACACCCTGCAGAGCGGCGAGCCCGCCGGGCCAAGCTGTCCAGCAGAGGGGGACGCCTTGGGGTGTCCTCTCAGCAAAGTCAGGGACTGGAGTCAAACCTTGTATCCAAAGCTGATGAAGACAAGGACGGAACACGACCCTTTGGGATTCCTTAATGACACTCATGCAGGTGGCACTGAGGGGGGCTCAAGGAGCTTGCTGTCTTGTTCAAACCCCCTGCGCCCCCAGGTGTCTCTAACACAGCCTCTGGCACGGCCCTGACGCGTGTGACCTTGTGGCAGTCCCTCTCAGTGTATCTGTGTGCCTTCCGCCATAAGGTGGCGTCCGAGTTGAGCCTGTGAGGGCCAAATGCCCTGGGGAACGTGGGTTTACAGTGCACACTGGCTTCTTCCTGGTCAGCCACGCTCTCGGCTTGCCTTGGCCACCGCCTGAGAATCTGACCTCTCACTGGCCACATCTTCTTCTTGCGCACTGTACACCGGGGTGATGCCCTGAGAGGGCTGGAGAGCGGCGCTGGGGCCCGCGTCTGCTGCCGCCACCGTATCAGCAGCCTCACTCTCCAGGCCGCCCCGAGTCGGACCCGGCTCCCAGCCCGCTGACCCAGCACTCAGCCGGCCACTCCGTGGGGCCTCGCTCCTGTCCCAGCTCCAGGCTGTCAGTTCTTGCCCCACACTCCCTGGCTGCAACTGGTATTCATCAAGCAGGAGGTGAGGAATACGGAGCTCACTGTCCTGAAGAAACACCTTTGCTGCTTGGTATTTGAAAGCACAATCCCAGATTTCAACAGCCTGAAAGATTAATTGGGTTATCAATCTTTCGTTGAAATTTCAAAATGACAAGTTAAAACATGATGAAATGGAAAACAGGAACCCCAGTGTTCAGAGCCTAACTCTAGATAATGCAGACGGGCAGATGTGCACTACAAAGCTACTGTGAACTTGACTTCCTGAAGAGAACTGGCCAGGTTCAACGCCCTCCTGCTCCTGGTGCGTGTGCTACAGATGTCGAGGTGACACTGGGGATCGGGCGTGCCCACGGCACCTGCCACACTGTGATGGGGTGAACCATCGCCCCAAGCGCCTGGCTGCGGCGGCAGACGCACACCCGTGTCTCACCCTTCCGCCAGGCAGCAACGGCAGGAGAGCAGCACACGGCTGCCAAGGGCCAGGGTCACTGCCCTCTCCCCTTCTTCCGGACACCTAGCAATGCGCCTGGCTGCCGTCAGGGGCTGTCGCCCCGGGCTGGCGGGATCGCCTTCCCGGTCTGTGAGCAGTACTTGCTGAACAGCAGCAGGTGCCGCCAGCAGATACCCTCGAGGACACCCCGGCCAAGCGCAAAAGGGGCAGAGAGAGAGCCTGAGACGTTACAAAGCCAAACAACCAGTGGGACGGCTGTCAGCGAGAAAGCCGCAGAGCACCGCCTCCAGGAAGCTTGCCAACCCCCTCCAGCCGCCCCCCACGCCTGCCCCGACCCAGCCCCCATCTCTGGACTGTGGCAGTCCCAACATGCGTGCCCACACAGCCCCACTGAGCACTGAGGACCCCTCCTGTTCTAAACCTGCACACTCGGATCTGTCACCGCGTGGGAACTGCACACTCGGATCTGTCACCGCGTGGGAACTGCACACTCAGACCTGTCACCGCGTGGAGGGGGAAGCGTGTTCTTCAACAGTTGTGACTCGGACACGAATGACATCAGATGAGAAAACCAAAATGCGACTCTGGAGGCTACACCTCTTGCCAGCACAAACCGCTGAGTGTTCAAGTCCATCCAGCACAAACTGAATGGCGGCTGGCATCCGGGACCAGGCCTTCAGAGCCTGTGCTGAGGAGCCAACTTGGCCACCTTCCCCCAGCTCCCACCTGCAGCCAGAGGTGAGTCACGACACAGCCCACGCTGCAGAGATCTCTGGGCTTGGGCCCTGGCCCTGGCCGCAGGTACCTGTGATCCCAGGGACAGGACACACTCCAGCTGTTGTGGGGCCACACTGTTTGCAGGGCCCGAAGTGGGTGCTGCCCCCAGTCTACCAGAAACAGACCTGCCTGTTCCCAGAGTGAGCAGTGAGCATACAGGCTAAAGGTCACTGCACGGCACGGCAACGGCACGAGCCCAAAACCAAAGGACAAATTCCCCGCCCCTGTGGCATTTGGCCAAGATAAAGCCCTTGCAGCATTCCCTGGGGGCTGGGCGAAGCAGATGGGTGTGGCCAAGCCCACTCCGCCCTACTGTGTCCACCCTGCATGGGCTGGAACTCACCAGCTCCGCCAGCTGCCGGCCCCAGGCTCCTCTCAAGAGGGCTGGACCCAGCGGCAGGAGAGCTCCTGTGAGACCCTCAGTCACGGCTACCTGACACCACCACCTGCCTCCTGCCCCTTCAAGTGCAAGTTCCTATCGCGGAGGACAGACAGCAGGCGGCCTGTAACTGCCCAGCTACAGGACGGCAGCCGAGGGCGGTCACTGTAACTAATGCTGCTGCTGGCCCGTGAGCCCCACAGCACAGGACCGACCCACCCCGTTCACCTCAGTGCCAGGTGTGGCAGCCTGCATAGACCCCATCGCCCCTGTGAACGAGCGTAAAAGCTGTCTTCTGCTGGGATCGCAAGGTCCAAGCCAGAGACTGGTGCTGGCTACTGCCCGTCCTCAAGGGCACCTGATGACCGATCTGCTTGTTCTGGACTGGAAAAGGCACCCACTTCAGAAAGCCTTAATTCTGAAGAGCTATGAGGCCGAGAGCACACGGGCTCCAGAGAGCAGGCAGGTCAGGCCCTGGTCAGAACACTCCGGGAGGCTCGGGCCCTAAGTGAGCCCGCAGCTGACTGGGGACCTGGGATGAGGCAGGCCCAGTTTGCCCTCCACCCTGGCCACCAGCGAGTGCTCAGAGATGCAGGCAGCGACTCTTAGCACTGCTGGGGACAGATCTGCCACAGTGTCCCAGCGCCTGTGAGGCTTCCCTAGAAGTTCTGGTGGCCCGTGAACAGCCTGATGGCCTACAGCCCAGACTCTGCACGTCAGCCTCAGAGCCAGAGAGAGAGGCCCCAGACGCCGGCCCAGGCGTGGAGCCACAGGGGAGGGCCCGAGGGCTCCTGGAGAGAGCCAGGGCGACTGGTGAGAACAGCTGAGCTGCCTGATGCCCCACTGAGAATCCCCTGGGCAGGCCGTGCCAGGCTCCAGCCTGCTGAGGGAGTAACCTACTTGGAGAGCAGCCTCCTCTCGCCCTGCCATCCCACCCTCCTGCCTCCCTCCAGAACAGGCGCTGGCTCCCAGGAGCTCAGGGCCGTGGCCTGAGTGTGAGCAGGCTCCTTCAGCCTCCAGACGTCACTCCCACCCGGGATGTGGTCCCTCCCCCCTGCTCCCGATTCAAGGCCCAGCTCAACCCAGCAGCCACAGGCCTCCGGGCCGACTCTGGCCGGCAGCCCTCCTCTCCCGAACTGCGCGGCCCTGCAAGGCTCCAACACTGCGCACAGCACACCTGTTCTCCTTACTCTAAGCACGCCCCCCAGGAATCACGGCCCCTCCCCCGTCTCTTTTTTTCAAAACCTCTTACTACAGGCTGGAGCAGGACGGGTCCTCTCCAAACACCCACTCAGTCCTTTTACACTACGCCGCTGTGGGTGCTCTCTCCTTGTTCACTCTCCTGCAAACACCCGTGTGCTTAGTGAGCTCTGCCACGCCTCCCTTCCTGCCCTCTCTCCAGGAGGCAGCAACTCCCACAGCCCCGGGTACCAGGGTCTGCCTACTGCCTGTCTCTTCTCTCCAAGTGCTACAGCCAAAGCTGCCCGAGGGCAGGGCTCGTCCCTCCTGTGAGGGCAGATGGCCAGTGACCTTCTCCGGCCAGCCAGATGGTTCCACCTCTAGACCTTTCTCGGCTTTCTCGGGAAAAGCTGCCCTCTGTGTGGAAGCGGAACTCGCTGGCCGCCTGGCGAGATGTGAACCGCCGTGAGCCCGGCAGGGCCTGGCGACTGCACAGTGACCGAGCCTGCCTCAGCCCTCCTCAGCCCACTGCAGCTGAGAAGTCAGTGGGGAACAGGAGCGTGAATAGCTGGACCTGATAAGGCTCCTTGCTTTAATACACGCAGTGTCCACCTGAGTCGTTTTTTTTTTTTTTTTAAATAAGCAGCTAAAGACTTCTGCGATATCATTCTGCTTAGCTACAAAAATACCCCAGCATTTCTGCCGCCAAGTAGGTGACTACGACACTGCCAAGGGTGCTGCAGGAGCAGCTCACCCACAGCGCCACAGCAGAGGGACCCAGGCCCCAGCCAGGTCCGCCCTGACCCCACCACCAGCACGCATTCACTCCTCTAATCCTCACAACACTAGGATGCAAGTACCCTTGTTACTCCATTTTACAGACTGGGAAACTGAGGCAACGTCTGGCCCACAGCCACACACAGGCAGAAGTAACGAGGCAGCCCCTCGGCTCCCAAGCAATGTCCCCCCATGCCCGTGGCTGCTCCCGGCCTGTCAGTCACAGGCCCTCCTGAGGGGGCCACCCTGCCTGCCCCACTGCTGAGCCCAAGGCAGGCGCTGGTCACTGCTGCACAGCGACGTCCCCACCAGGGAGAGCAGAGAGGCGCCCCTGACACTGAGGCCTTCTGTCCCACTACATGGGGATGATGAACTACATGGCTGGCGCTGTGCTGTAGCAGGTCAAGCCACTGCCTGCAATGCTGGAATTCTGTATGGATGCCTGTTCCAGGCCCAGCTGCCCACTTCCCATCCAGCTCCCTGCGAACGCACCTGGGAAAACAGCACAAGATGGCTCGAGTGCTTGGGCCCCTGCACCCACGTGGGAGACCGAGATGAAGCACCTGGCTCCTGGCTTCAGCCCGGCTCAGCTCTGGCCATTGCAGTCGTCTGGGGAGTGCATCAGAGGATGGAAGATTCTCTGTCTCTCCTCCTCTCTAACTCTTCCTAATGAAATAAACCTGACAAGATGAACTATACTTCTACAGGTCAGCATCGCAGGAGGCCACAGGGCAGCGCTGCACGGCCACCACAAGCCCCACGAGGGCTTCTGTGGCATGGATGAGGCCACGGCCTCTCAGGCTGGCAAGCAGGCCTGCTGCCTGTGCACCCACGCTAGGGCGGGGGGCTGAGCGGAGGTCACGAGGTCATGAACTCCAGCACTGTCCCAGAGGACCTGTAACTGCTGGCTCTGACGCGGCTTCATCTGGTTTCTCCCCAGCCCTGCTGAGCGGCTGGCAGCACATCTGTCACTCCTGCCGCCCTCGTGAGAGCCTGGGTACCTGAAACTGGAGCTCTGGCCTGCGTCACGCAGGACAGGCGGGGTGGGCAGCTCCTGCACCCGGCGCCTCTTCCTTCAGTCTGGGAGGAAGTACCAGCTCCTTGAGGGCAAGGACTCAGTCGTCTCACTGCCTGCTGTGTCCTCACAGGCCCGGCACACAGCAGGTGCTCAGTAAATACAAACTTCAATTAAACGGAGTTGGTAATGACCTTGAACCCAATGTGCAGGACAGAAGAGTACTCACAGCATTTTGAGCGTCCTTCCCATCTTCTTGAAAACTTGGGTACCTGTGATCACCTGTCCCTCCTGGACAGTGACATCCAACAGGATTTGATTCAGACAACACTCCCAACTGCTTCCGTCTTAGGGAACCTGCTGCACGGGTCCCCGGTGAGCACCAGGGCCCCACCCTCGTCTGGTGCCTCCCGCACCGGCAGGGCAGCCCTGGGCTGAGGTCTGCATCCTCCCTCACCCCGAGGCTGCTCTGCCCCTCACAGAAGAACACCCCGAGACTCAGGTCGGCGAGGTGCCCAAGGGCACAGGGCTGTCAGAACCCAGACCTTTCCAACGGCAAAGCCAGGGCTCCTCCCACAAGCCCACAACTGCCAGAAAAATGTTAGGGGTTTCGCCATGGGGACAAAATGCAATCAGAAAGTTGCCTTCACTCAAGAGGCAGCATTGGTGGCGAGGCAGGTGAAGCTGCTGCCTGTGATCCCAGCATCGCGTATGGGCACCAGTTCGAGTCCCGGCTGCTCCACTTCCAACCCAGCATCTTGCTAATGTGCCCAGGAAAAGCAGTGGCCAAGGCCCAAGTGCTTCGGCCCCTGCACATGTGGGAGACCCAGATGGGGCTCCAGGCTCTCGGCTTCAGTATGGTCCCACCCCGGCTTGTGGCCATTTGGGGAGTGGACCAAGGATGGAAGACCTCCTTCTCTTTCTGTCTTTCCCTCCCTCTCTGTAACTCTACTTCTCAAATAAAAATAAAATGCATATTTAAAAAAATAAATAGAACACAATAAAATAGACTTTGCTCTAACCAGCAGGCAGGAAAGCAGGCAGGGCTCCGGAAGAATGACTCCCGTCTCCCCTAAAACTCCACCGGGGGCAGGTGTCTGGCTGCG